AAAAAAAAAAAAAAAGATAGATGTGCATATATATATAAAACATTATTAGATCTATATATTATTTAAAATATTTGTTATAAAGAATAAGTAAAAGACATAAACAGTACCATCCCTGGCTCTGTCATACAGTAAGACCACTTTTGATAGTGAATTTTTCCTTTTTTGTGCTTCATTTTCTTTACTTAGAACACATTTCTGCCATACCGACCTTAAAAAAATTGTGAGGCTTAAGCAAGATAAAGAATAAGCATATTTTTTTTAAAGAAAACATGAAGAACGCATTATAACAGAACATCTAAATCACTTAATATGAAATATTAAAATGTCTAAAATAAGTCATTTCCTAATAAGAGCCTAATGTTGAGGTTATTGAGAATTTAATTTAAACTTTAGCTATAATAGAAAGTGAAAATCACTTCTTATTGCCATTTTAAGCATTATTCAAATTACTCTAATTTCATAGCCTGCTAGATCTATATATCAAGACATTAGCACTGAGAGAGAGAGAACTTCTAACATTACTATTTTATTTGAACAGTTAAGTTGCTATTTAAAACTGTGTCTGTTTATGAATCTGTCTTTCCTGAAATATTCAACTTTTTGATTTTTTCTCTACCATGAAAGCACCTCTACCTTGAAAACAGACTGAAGGTTAACATTGACAAAGATGTTGTCTGCTACAACTGTAATCTCCTAGTCTTCATCTCCTGACAGACTGTGCAGAAGGATGGTACAATATACACAGTAACACTAAGCAGCATAAGCACAGTTGGTGGCCCAGGTTTATTTAAGAAAATCAGCATCTGTATTATGTTTTTATTCCAGTAAGCTCCTATTTATTTGCAAACACTACTCAGTTACTTAAGCCAAACCTGTTCTGCACTATCCCTGGCTTGCCAAGACAATGTGGAGCATGACCACATTGGTTCTTCTCTCCAAAACTACAACCTCTTTCCTAATGGCTTCAGAATCCTTAGACAGATATTTCACTATTTTCTCTAGAAAGGAAAACCTCAGGCGTTAGAAACTATCAAGTACCATCTTGCCTGGCAAAATGCTTTTCTTTTCCTTTTGGCCCATTAAGAAAAATAAAATAAGTTTCAAACTGATATTCTATGAAATATTATAGAATGTTTGCATAAAATATGCACAGTTTTCCTATCTTTATCAAAAATGAGTTTCAAATATAAAAAATAAAATGTAGATAAAGCTTATAAGGGTGGTATTATTTTTAAAATAATAAGAGTTACTTTTGCCTTAGCTTTGTTTTTAATTAAGAGGCTGTCACTAGTCCAGAGAGTCTGGTTTAGGTGCTAGTCGGCTTTTTTTTTTTTTAATCTGTAGTAATATATTTTCATTTGCAGAAAAAATGCATAATAGGTGTAAATTTATTCAATCTATTTTATGAGCTTACTTGGGGTTGCCAAAGGATCCTGGAAGCTAGTGTAGTGCTGCTGGTAGTGCTCCCAGAAGTTTCAGGCACACAACACACTGTGTTTTAAATAACTATGTGTAAGTTTCTGCAAGCTGATGACTAGACAATTTTACGGGTTAGTTATAGACTGATAAATCTGGTGAGTAAGCTCTGAAAAAAGTACCCTGAACTAGTTCTTGACAAGAAGACTGATAGTTGTATAAGGCGAGCACCAATTAATGTTCTCTATTATCTAGATGTATCATCAGAGTAAAATAATGGTATGGCCTGGCTGAGTCAAGCAGCAGCTGCGGCTGTCACCCTTACCACTGTTTCATACTCTACATACAAGAGTCATGAGACAGAAAAACATGTGCAGTTGTGGTCAGTCTTCAA